GCGAAGATAGAGCGCCCTCCTCTGCTTGGTCGAGCCGCATCGGTGGGAACCCATCAAGTGGGCTGTGGCTCAGGTGGATACGCCGAGTCACCAGGAGACTTCAGGCAATCTGAACACCACCATTTTGTTAATACGGCAGCTTGGGCCCGGGTAAGGCGCACATGAGAAAGGCGCCTACAGGTGAGGAAGCGGTTGCGGCAAATGACACGCCCACTGACGTTCGCTGAGTCACATTGCCGGCGGTGGTTTGTGAGGTGAATATCCGTCAGTTCGCTGACCGATAACATGGTTAAGCTCGGGCTTAGCTGGCAGATAACTCCGGCATAGCTGGCGCAGGCGGATATTATATGAATGGTAAGTGACTCTCCGCGGTCCCCTCAGTCGATTGTGGTGAAAGACGACGATGTGAGGCATTTAGAATTGTATGACGCCCAGGTTACTAGGGTATAACGCTGCGCAGACGTGAAGTCACCATGGAACTAAAGTTCGCTAGCCCAGAATATGGTTTTTGGTTGACGCTACTAAAAGGTTGGTACATGATAATAATATGATTAAAAGTAGATTTTGCCAAAGAGCTGGGTGACAGGGTATCTTGCTCTGCATCTTTATTTCACCGTTATGTACATACATACTGTACATTTCGCACTTCAATCTTCTCAAGATAAATCAGTTCTAGAAAACACTTCCAAACAGATCCTTTCAAACCACGTTTTCGAGCCCAGCTTCCACATTACATTCGCCGTAGTCGACGCGCATGGCTATTTATACGTAATGCCTTTTTGTGAAAAGAATATTGATACGGAGATGAATTAATACTATTGGTAATGTTTACATCAAATTTATGAATGGGCAACGATTGCCCATTTATCTCCGTACTGCAGTACCTACATCGAGTGAATTGTGAAAATAATGTAATGTGAGGAGGGCATGTGTCAAAAATTTCGTTGCTGCTGTGCTATGATCTTCGTAGGCTTTCGTTTGCTTGCAGCTCCATAGTGTCGGATAGGTTAGGTGAAAAAGTGCGCAGGAAGTCATATCCCGATTACCCTAATAGATTCCCAAGACTATATCCCGGCTGAGATATGAGCCGCGACCCTCTGACAGGCAGCAATTGCAAAACTTGCCAGGAGTCGTCCCATTTTGCAGGAAAATATGTCATCTTGAAATGAAATGGCGCACGCTGCATTTATGCCTTCTGTGATTCACCACCCATCACTTTCATTAGGGCAGGCCAACCCTGCATCCACCCTGACAGCGCCCCGCCTAAGGCTTCAGGATGGACATTCCAACTTCTCAATGTACGTCCAGGGTCTTGCGAGCCCGTCTGGCCTGCCCTTTTTCATCTCAACTCTATGTTGCTATCGTTGTTGAATGTTGTATTTTATACAGACTGTTTCTATAAGCATTTCCGACAAGAGCTCTTCAGAATAAGTCACTGGTGAATGGGCTACCCCATCTCTCTGTCGGGGGCTGGTTGGAAGCGCATTTCAGCAATATTTTTGTAGGTCTAGTGTAAATCAATGCCACTTCCCAGCTTTGAATGCTTCATTGAATGAGCTAGGTCGAAAAAGTCCTGTTTATGAAGATCATTATGCTTAGACCAGCCCGTAAAGAGCAGCGTTTTCACGAAGCCCTAGCGTTGGTGCTAAATTAAGTCCCTTGATGATGTGTCATAGCCTCGCCTGCCCAGCATGCAGTAATGCGGGGCTTGGCATGACGCATATTCAGTTTTCCAGGTGCTTGGGTGATAACAAACGACTTCACGTTTTCATTTCGCAAAAAAATGCTTGGCTTTTCGCTTTAGTTATTCGACGGGCAATACAGCTGAAGGATAAAAACGCACTAACTGTCAGATCTAATTGCCCAAGTATTTATTCAAAGCGATGAAAACGCATCACACCAAATACTTGGACGGCGCGAAAAAGCAAAACAAGAATATTTTATGAAATGAAGAAATGAGAGCATGCCAGTGCCGTTGAAGAATATTAAGCAATGTAAAGAAATTTAAAAATGTGAGGCACTCCATTCGTTGAATATATTGGCGTATTGAATGCTATGCTTTATATTGGCGAACTACCATGCTTTCCAATGCGGAGGGCTCAAACAGCCACGAGGTCACATCCTCTTGGGGACCCATAACATTTACAACACTTGGATCATAAGCACAACTTGAATATTCAAGTGCTGTCGGTATAACCTGTGCTTGCTTTATAACGGTATTTAACACGCGCTCGGGTGGAGGTCAAATTGCCCCCCCCCCCGAAGGTCTTCCAGAATGGCTTCCGAACGGCGCGGTGTAGCCGCGCCACATTTTGCATAGCCGTAGACAATTAATTGGCGGATCGTATGACCTAAAACATTTAGATGTATTTTGTATGGTCGCTGCCCTAAGGCAGGTCAAAGTCAGGCCATGTTTTCAGCGAAGGCAATTTCTAGGGAATCGTCCAATCTGATGCTATAACGGAGTGTTTGACAAAGCCATACATCTCTGAGATGCTTTCTGAGGCACCACAATTATTGAATGAGCAAATTAAGTTGACCTAAGGTCAGGTATGAAGGTCAGACCAAGTTCAAAACCAACCTGATTTATTCCCCTAGGGTTGCTGTATGGGATAGTCTCTGGTGCTCATTTTGAATTTATTGCCAGCAGGAACCGCATTCTACATCTTCCATTGACTTCTTAGAGGTCAGAACAGGTCATTGATCTAAGATGACCCTGGTCGACATTTTGTTTTAGAAACATGCTGCCTAGCGTAATTTTTGTCGCTTATTCAAATGCAAAACTCAGAGAAATCTTGCGTGATTTTGGTCACCATGACATTCAAAAGATCAAATAAGGTCACTGACCTTAAATGGGCTTGTGACCTTTTGCATAGAAACAGTTGCCTAGATTCTGGGGACACTTTGGAGACCAACCTGAAATTTCACCTTGTTTGACCTCATTTGACCCAAAGGTCATGACCTAGGAAGTTTAAACTTTGACTTAAGTGAGTTCACGTACAGGTCAAGACACTCTGTACATTTTGTGTCTCTAGCTTCCTTAGTTCCCGAGATCTTAGGGGGGGGGGGCATATTGACCTCCCCACCCGAGCGAAAGGTATCTAGCCGGCCACCCGGGCACGTGTTAGCCGTTACCTCCTGGTATATAAAGGGTCAGTAACTCAGCATAAGAATTTTCAACGTATAATGCCAACAAATGGGGGGCTGAAGGCCTGTATTTCCTACATTACGCATGGCACCGATATCGCCTGAAAATCGTATTTGCACATTTTTTAATTGTTACTACTTCATTCTAAATCGGAGGTGACAACCTTGAAAAATTTCGATGAATCCTCCGGATGCTGCTGTGGCGCAAACATTGCGTGCACCTATGTGTACAATTGACGCGGAATTGTTGGGTTCTACCACTAGAGGCAAAGGAATTTCATATTACATGTTTAAAGAAGCGCACTTTTATACCACGTTTTTGCTTTTAAACCACGTTTTTGTTTGTTGGGTCCATAACCATTTGTTTATCTTTCCAGTCATCATTCGTAAGTTCAGTCGTACTTTTTAGAAAGTTCTTGGAGTGGTGAGGCTCAGTACCCCGCCCCCCCCCCCCGCATCCCAGGTTCCGCGCCGCTGGATAGGAACAATTTGGATTGCATTGTGGTCCAAGCTAGACACGGTAGGTATAAAATTGTTGCGATCACACAAACATAAGCGGGGAAGGTAAAGCTACATCATCCAAGATCTATCTGTTGGTAGGCGTATTATTCAATTTCGCAGCTCGTAGCAGGGAATATGCATTCCGTTTTGCATCCAGGAACGGATGTTGTCAGTCACACTCATCGTGCAATGAGGAGCTTGAGTGTTCGGAATTCATGCGTACATGTAATTGCGCAAACCGCAGGACCACGGGCGTCATCGTTCACAGGTGCCCACAACGCCCCGTAACTTTGATCGTTGAGATGCATCTCAGACTTGCAAAGATCTTTTTCAGCCTTTCCAGGACCATAATTTCTTTGCACGTCCCTAGAACCACGCGGGGTTGATATTTCAGCTCCACGAGCCTGTAGCACGGTACTGGTGACGTGGACTCAGGTCACACGCGGTCCCAGCTGCAAAAGAACTTGTTTCACGGAGTCCGATTCAGCGCCATTGCTGGCTTGTGGCGATTCCCGTGTTACTGAGAGGCCCCGTAGGATGCGGATTCCCGTGCTACTGAGAGACCCCGTGGGATCCGCATTCCCGTGTTTTTGACAGGCCCCGTGGGATCCGGATGCCATCGGTCGGTCCTCAGGCGTTTTACCAAGAAGCGCTCACAGCCCGCCCGCACCGACCCCGCGCAGGCGCAGGGTGGGATGTCAATCGGCAAATCTGGACCGTGACGACGGCTCAATGTCTGTGAACGTCTATGACCACTGCGGTATCGCTATCGGGGAGGGTGCTGACCTTGTGCTTATCCCGCCCGTGTCCTCAGAGCTGGAGTTTACCCCGGCCGTATCCTCAGAGTTGGCACTGACCCCGCCCGTGTCCTCAGAGCTGGCGCTGGCCCCACCCGTGTCCTCAGAGCTGGAGTTTACCCCGGCCGTATCCTCAGAGTTGGCGCTGACCCGCCTGTGTCCTCAGAGCTGGTGCTGGCCCCACTCGTGTCCTCAGAGCTGGAGTTTACCCCGGCCGTGTCCTCAGAAGTGACGATGACCCCGGACGTGTCCTCAGAGCTGGGGTTTTTCCCGAACTGGTGCTGACCCCGGCCGTGTGCTCAGAGTTGGCACTGACCCCGGCTGCGTCCTCGGAGCTGGCATTGAACCCGGCCGTGTCCTCAGAGCCGGCACTGACCACAGCAGTGTCCTCAGAGGCGGCGCTGACCCCGCCCTTGCCTTGCCTCAGAGCTGGTGCTGACCACAGCAGTGTCCTCAGAGGCGGCGCTGACCCCGCCCTTGCCTTGCCTCAGAGCTGGTGCTGACCACAGCAGTGTCCTCAGAGGCGGCGCTGACCCCGCCCCTGCCTTGCCTCAGAGCTGGTGCTGACGGCGGACACGGACAGCTTCATGGTGGGAGAGCCGGTTTGGGTGGGTGGCACGCTGCCCGGCAAGATCGCCTACATCGGGGAGACCAAGTTTGGCTCGGGCGACTGGGCTGGTGTGGTGCTTGAAAGGCCATTCGGTGAGTGGCATGTATTCACCAGCTGCACCAACACCACTCCATGGCAGCCTGGTACACCAACAGGACAACCTGACAGTGCCAGAGACCCTCATTTATGTTTGTGTGGTAGTAAGATGGGGCATCAAGTCTGTTCCTTCCAGTATGTCGTACAGCGTTAATATTGCATTAAGAAGTTTAGATAAGGGGACAGCAAGAGGCTGTCCATAGCCACCACAACCATCGATGTATGAACATGGCACCACGGAAACCAGAAGGACCCAAGCGCATCACAGCCTTCAATTGCACCAACACGGACACCGCAGCCACTGACGCACCATCGCACCATAGCCACCGGGTATAGCAGGATGCATCACGGTTACCAGCTGCACCGACAGGAGACAGGACACTGCGACCCTATCACGGTTACCAGCCGCACCGACAGGAGACAGGACACTGCGACTCTATCACGGTTACCAGCCGCACCGACAGGAGACAGGACACTGCGACTCTATCACGGTTACCAGCCGCACCGACAGGAGACAGGACACTGCGACTCTATCACGGTTACCAGCTGCACCGACAGGAGACAGGACACTGCGACCCTATCACGGTTACCAGCCGCACCGACAGGAGACAGGACACTGCGACCCTATCACGGTTACCAGCGCACCGCACCGGGACAGGAGGACAGGACCTGCGACTCTATCACGGTTACCAGCCGCACCGACAGGAGACAGGACACTGCGACCCTATCACGGTTACCAGCCGCACCGACAGGAGACAGGACACTGCGACCCTATCACGGTTACCAGCTGCACCGACAGGAGACAGGAACACTGCGACTCTATCACGGTTACCAGCTGCACCAAAAGGGGACAGGACATTGCGACTCTATCACGGTTACCAGCTGCACCAAAAGGGGACAGGACATTGCGACTCTATCACGGTTACCAGCTGCACCAAAAGGGGACAGGACATTGCGACTCTATCACGGTTACCAGCTGCACCAAAAGGGGACAGGACATTGCGACTCTATCACGGTTACCAGCTGCACCAAAGGGGACAGGACACTGCGACTCTATCACGGTTTACCAGCTGCACCAAAAGGGACAGGGACATTGCGACCCCTATCACGGTTACCAGCTGCACCAAAAGGGGACAGGACATTGCGACTCTATCACGGTTACCAGCTGCACCAAAAGGGGACAGGACACTGCGACCCTATCACGGTTACCAGTTGCACCAAAAGGGACAGGACACTGCGACTCTATCACGGTTACCAGCTGCACCAAAGGGCAGGACATTGCGACTATCACGGTTACCAGCTGCAGCAAAAGGGGACAGGACACTGCGACTCTATCACGGTTACCAGCTGCCCAAAAGGGGACAGGACACTGCTGCGACTCTATCACGGTTACCAGCTGCACCAAAAGGGGACAGGACACTGCGACCCTATCACGGTTACCAGCTGCACCAAAAGGGGACAGGACACTGCGACCCTATCACGGTTACCAGCTGCACCAAAAGGGGACAGGACCTGCGACTCTATCACGGTTACCACTGCACCAAAAGGGGACAGGACATTGCGACCCTATCACGGTTACCAGCTGCATTTGAGTGAGATGACAATATTTTGCAGGGGGGCCTCCCGGACATGTAAGTGATGCCTGACGTGTGATGTGCGATGCCAGTTCAATTGAAATCGTTTGCATGTTTAACTGATGCGCGATATGTCGTGCCTGTTTACTTCAACTCGCTTGCATGTTTGAATGAAGCATTATGCGTGGTGCCTTTTTGCTTGAATTCGTTTACATGTACACTATGTCCGCGCATTCTAATTCATAGATAGACACTATCTTGGCAATGGCTGTCAATCCCTCTTTGTTTAATCCCCTGGATGCTGGTGTCCTGTAAAAACTATGATTTGCTGTTTAAAGAAAAACATGAAACGTCGAGTAGGATCACCGGCAGGCAGTTTTCAATTCACTTCTGCTATTGTTTCATTAAAGGTATGTTGCCGAAATATCAATCTAGCTATATTTCTATTCCCATGATTCTTCCGAGGAATATGGCTACTGCTACTGTCTTATGTGAATTATGTTCCTCGCTAATGCACTGAACAACTTACGTAACAAACGAGTCTTTTGATGCAGCAAAAGGTTTTCTGAGCCCTTTTGTCTCTGAGATGTTATGCTCTCTAGTTCAGGCATGGAGCTATCCTTGATCTGAATGTAGATATAACTACTTCAGTTTTCTATATCTCTTCTGGTAGCTATAACGACTTTAGTTTTGCAAAAGAGACCTTCAAAATCTTGGGAGGGAGCAAAAATATATTCTTGCCCTTCTTCCCCAACCCCTGCTGCGCCGCCCCTGGCGCGGGATGCCTGACATTCCTGAAAAGCCGCCACCTCACGACGGAGTCTCGACGGAGTATATATATATATATATATATATATATATATATATATATATATATATGTATAATACGGAAGCCGGCAGTGTGCATAAGCTTCATATATACAAGCCTGTTTTATGAAGCTGAAGGAGTGCAACTGCATGTCTCTCCTGCAAACTGAAAAGTGAAAGATGTGGGCCATTCACCATTACGTGCTTCTGTAGTTGCTTGGTGTATATATGTGTTGTATATGGTGTATATATGTATTCACAAGAATGGTGTCCACGATATGTCTAGTATTGCATCCCGTTTATATGAAGCTTCTGGATTTTCCAAAGATGTCATCGATAAACCATTTACATTTAAGTTTACATGAAACAAAATATAAACACCCTTACTCCTATCATTTTAGAAAATGGTTCTCAGCCTTTCTCCAAAACGCTTAAGCACATGCCCTGCCATTGATAATATCTTTCCGCGCTCAGTTCATCGAACACGCATTGCGAGCCAGCTGCAATTCAGGGAGACACTGTTCCCAAGCCGTTGTACCACTCAGGGAACAGCGACTCTAACTCGCTTCGGTTCAAACGTATGACAAATGAATTCTCCATAATGTCAATGTCACGCGCAGCGCGTGTGGACTATAAAGGAGTCGCTGGTTGAGTTGGCTCCTCAGTGACCATGCTCGTCTGGGAAGGTCCAACCTTTGCTCAGAACCGGGAAGTGGAAGTATTACGCAATAAAGCTTTGACTACGCGAGCTCTCAAGCCTGTGAATCCAAACCCCGATGCCCGGCGTTGCAGTCTCCGAGGGCCGCATTGGGCCGGTCCCTTCGCTATTATTAGACGGCGGTCGGCAAGCGGATGAAAACGACGTTTTTGAAAGAAAGACACCCGTGCCCGCTGGAATATGTCTGTTTGCACGTGTAGAGTGTGGTCCGAGGGCAGCTTCCACCTATACAATTTATATATCTATAACATGTACGGATTAGCATTCACAGCACTGCAAACCGCTGCCAAAATTTAGTGATGGAGCCAGATAAGCAGACATAAAATCCCCTATTTTCTTGTTGCCTGGCGCTTTTTATATGTTATGGGGACGTCACCTAAATTTTACGTGTGAAGTTAATTCCCCAGTCTAATTTTTCGAGCGGTACGAATTCATTCTGAAAGACTTTCGGAGACATTTTTTCACGACGGTTGTTCTCGTGCGTCAGGCGCACGCCGCCCGGTGTTGGCCCGCCAGCGCCGTTTGGTTTGATGGAAAATGCAACCCCGGCCATCGGTGCTCGTTCTTCTAAGATTTCGAGCACGCAGGCTCAAGGTTTTTAAGTACTTTGTTTGACATGCTGCTCCGGAATTAGGATGAACGCAGGGCTGTAACTTTCTTAAATGGGTTGGGGTGAAGCTGAACCAATAAAGTTGATCCTACCTGCCCTCAAATCATGACTAGTTCCCGGTTTTCGGCCACTTTTGCTTTGCGTCCTTTATGTCAAGATTATACTCAAAACTATTTTGTCGGCTTTGGGATTGTTTTGATGTTAAGGAACTACTTCCTTTTTGAAGTCGATGCGACAGTGATAATGATCTATGAACATGATGTATATCGTGATGTGTTTAGGACCTGTATTGTACGGTACCCGTAGTTTAGGACTTGTACTGTAGGGTACCCGTAGTTTAGACAATAGCCGCACTTCACTGGCCCAGTGTTTCCTTTTTCGCTCATATGCATTTGGGGTGTGGGATTCAGAAGAGCATTGACGTGGATAAAGAGAGTGTTCCACATTTGTATGAGGTTTTGAAACGAAAGAGCCGTTTTGAAAATCATTCGGTGCCAGTTCCCAGTCTTGCCCTTCTTTAGACCGAAAACTTTCTAGTTTCTTAGCTGAATGCTCGCGAAGATGTGCGGCTACTTCATGGTGACTCTTTCGAGGTCGTTTAGGCAGCCGGACGCGATAGTAAAGCCATTCAAATCCCGCCATCCCACAGGCCATGCGGCGTTAAAGGCCAATAACGGTATTTTGGTTGGGCTGTTTAGATCAGTGAGCCAGAATCGCTTTTGAAGTAGGTTGGGAGTGCAAAATTCCAGCGCAAAAAGACCGTACGGGAGTGAAAAATTCAATTCACAAAAATTGTAACTTATGGGTCAGTGGGATGCTTCAGCAAACAAAGATACATTCCAAGCCGGCATGGACGCAATATCGTAAACATGACAAAACTTTTTGTTTTTTAACATCTTAGGTCATTAAAGTGAAATAGAATACCATTCTAGGTCAAAGAATAACAATTGTTTAACACTGTGATGAGCATCAAAAACTATGTAACACTAATGTAACACTAAAACTCCTCACCTTTTTCCGGGCAAGGGCCAAGTGGGTAGAACACTAGGTGCACGTCACGTTTCTCGGTCAGGGGCTGAAGGGTCGTTCCGTCCCAGCCTGGGGTGCCCATCGGCTGCCTTTCTGGCGAAACGAGGCCTGTATATATGGGGCTGTGTGGGGCTTTGTGGGGTAAAGGCATGTACATGGGTCGCCTGCCTGACGCCGGAGGCTCCCTGACCCGGAAATTTAGGCCTGGATCGACGCTTGGGCTCTCATTCACGCAAAACATATCCTTTATCGACACAG